TAAACGGAAATGAGGTTTCTTTTAATGTTAGGTGCACACAAAACATCATCGAGTGTAAAGGTTGTGGTAAGTGAACTAAGCGTTGAGGAACCAGAATGAGTAATTCTTTTACCGTCACCGATGATGATATCATCATTTCCGTCATAGTTGTTGTGGATGGACAAGTTTTGAAGATCAGAGGTGATGTGATGAGAGGCGCCCGAATCCACAATCCAATTAGGTTGAGTAGGAGTTGGAGTAGCCATGAAATTCGCCTGAGGCCACTGTGATGGAGTAGGGAGTCTGGGACGAGACCGACAGACTTTCGCGGAGTGTCCAACTTTATCACATAGTTGGCAAACAACTCGTTGGCGGCCTGTGAAGTCAGGACGCGACGGCTGAGTATTATAAAAGTTACCACCTTGATATGGGTAAGGAGGGTTTGGTCTGGGCCCCATAAGGCTAGGAGGCAGCTGTATGCAATGCCGAAGAGGGCTGCTGCTTCTTCCAGAGGCACTGGTAGGCTGCAGCGATTCAGAGTGCAAGAGAGATTGTTGCAGCGAGGTGGAAGAAATCTCTGCAGCTTGCAGCGATTTCTGCAGCGATGCTGGAGAAATATGCAAGGTTGGAGATAGTTGCAGTAATGCAGTATTGGAGTTTGGTGGCCGGAAGAGCAGCGGAGTTTTTAGCGGAAGACTTCGGTTGGCAAGGGAGCAGCAGCCGGCGGTAGAAACAAAGGCCGTGACTGTGCTTCCTTTAGGATCTGATATTAGCAGCCGCAAGTGCTGCAGTAGGCTGCAGCGAATGGCTACGGCTGAGGGGCGGAGGCGTCGCTACGAGAGGGATGGTTGGACTCCGGAGAAGAGGGCTTGCTCTAGGCAAACTGCTCTGATACCATGATAGAAATTAAGCGAAGAAGATAGAAAGATAGAAATTGTAGAAGAAACTATGAAATGTATAAGATATAATTGCCTAATACATTTTGATAGTGAGTTCTTGACAGCCATTTATACACACTCAGTAGGGAGGTTATACACATTCAGCATGGAGGATTTTTCTCAACTGCTGAGAGATTTCCTCAACTGCCTTGAGGAAATCTTATCTGCTTCTCATCAATTACGTCAAAGTTATCTTTATATGCCACTTGTGTACAAGTATATATGAATAAAAAGAATACTCTTTGATGTCGTGTAGTCCATGCCAAATATGAAGAGATGTATCTTTGCGGAAACAACCATAGTAATAACATTAGTTAGTCATGAAGACTCCTTTTGTATGTACGTGAAACCTTAGGAAGGGATTTATTAAACTGATTAGGGATGGTTCGAATACCAATTTATTAAATAATAATTGAGTTTTCAATTTACCTCTGACCATGAAAGCCTTGTTCAGGATAGTCTTCCATTTGTTGAACTTTACGAAGGTAGATGATTTGATGTGGTCTAATAGTTAAAATATTCCAGAGAGAAGTTGTTTGATCCTATTATAGTTAACATATTGAAAGGAGTTCAGATTGCCACATGTCCTAAGGATGACACAAGGATTTGAAAACTAAACTCAAAAGGTCTTGTTTTCACAAAATTTACATAGAAATTCTTTAGAACCAAAGAAAAGGCTCCTAACTCATAGAAGGGTTACAAACCATTTAGACCATTCGTGCATCTCCGAGAGTCCAAATCTTTTGCTAGAAATTATATCATAAAAGACTCCATACAATTGATAGATTATGAAAGTTAATCAGCAAAGTCTCTTCGTTGTGTCATTTATATGAAATTACACCCTAAATTATCAGACACATTTTTTAGGAATATCAATTTTCTTCATCCTTGGTTTCCACAGCGCATAAGTGTTTTTGAACAGACTTGTGGTCTATAGTTAAAGCTTTTATTGTAAAATTATTCAAGCAAGAGAACCCATTAGCCAAAGGAATATGAGCTCAAACTATCACTGCTACTAGCTATGTTATTAGAAAATTCAACCTAACAAACTTAAATCTTGACAACCTTGTTTTTTATTATTTTTTTTTGGGAGAATTAATCAAAGGAGCTTTCAAAATTGTAAAATGTTAGCATCGGGGTTAATGTTTGGGATGATAAGGGATCATATAGACTTGCTGGCCTCAAGTATGTTCCAGGATGCTTGCTTCTATAATATCAAGCTTTAACAGCTAAATATGGTCTTACATTAGCCCTATAAGAGGGATTCCTGAAAGTCCAATTGGAGGTTGATTTAATAATTCTTGTAAATTGTATCACTAAGCATTAACTCTCATTATGGGAGATCTCAAATTCTTTGGCTGATATAATAAGTCTTTTTTTTTTTTTTAAATTCTCACTGTTTTAGAGAAGACAACCAAAAAGCCAATTGGATTGCAACTTAAGGTAGATTATTATATAGAATAGAGACTTTGTTTTTTAGAAGGAGAGATTTTCTTTAGATTTAGAATCCATTTTTAAAAAAATATATATTAAACATTTGAAGTGATAGAAAAGCTGGTGAATGAATTATCTAAGCAAATTGAATCCTAACACGAGTGAGATATTGCTAAAGCCCAAACTTGCTTGATACAACATGAAAATCTTAATGAAATTAGGTTGGCACATACAAAAAAAAAAAATCATAGGCACACTAGACCCACCATTCCTTGCATGTCACCGAATCATAGAGTTTTTACATGAAAAGTAGACATTGGCCGACCAATGATGATTGTTTTTGTTTCCAAACACTTGTCGTCTAACATTGCCTCACTTGTTGGCAAAGCTTTTATCATGTCATATGTTACACATAAAGAGCACGAAGCAGCCTCTGAGGCGGACCAGCTCAGGAAGAGTTAAAAGAGGCCGATCAGTGATTTCATGGGCCACATGCTTTAACTTCAACAGCAAGATGAATCAATTTGCAGACCTTTGCTTCCACCCCAAACCTCCTCCTACCAACCCCCATTACATGCAATGTAGGCTAAAACAGGGATGGAAATGAAATGGCTGTGTGGTGGCCTCCACAGTCTGTCATCATCCATGCACTCCTCCCTCTGCTCTACAAATCTCGAGCCCCGGAGCAGCATCCTGCCCTCGTTGAAGTCTGCGCCCTCCAATGGAATCGGTTCATGAGAGTGCACCAGCTGCTAAGATACTTGTTGGAGTCTCGCTTGATGCCCGAGCGAGCTCACAGCTTCTCTCATGGGCAGTCACAGTAGCCGCTCGACCAAATGACACAGTTATCGCTTTGCATGTTCTTGGTTCGTTCGTTTTAATTGATGAAGGGTTCCATCGGCCAAATTTATACTGGTTTGTAATTCCTCTTTTTTTGTAGCAGTTCGGAAAGCAGAGAAGAGGCTGAAGTCGGAGAGAAGTAGTTTGCGACAGGCTCAGGCATCTGTGATCTCTGCTGTTGGGGAGTTCGCTGGAGTCTGCCAAACTAAGCGGGTAGATTGATGCATATTGCTTTTGCATTGGCTTTTAAGAGGGATTCTGTGAAGCGTTCTGGATGCTTGCACTTGTCTCAGGTGAAGTTGGAGGCAAAGGTCAGGACTTGTTCGAGCGTTGGAGAAGGACTTGCCGACGAAGCGGCACTGGTTGAGGCCAACCTTCTTGTTCTCCGCAGGTCAGGAATCCTCCTAAACTGCAGCGTCTCCTTTCTCAGTGCATCGAATGATTCTAATGCCTTCTTCTCTTGTGTGGAGTAGAAACTCATTTGAAATAGTGAGATATTGCCTCAAGAATGCTCCTGAAGGCTGCTCCATTGTTGGTGTGGATGTGGATGTGGATGTGGATGTGCAAGCTCTGCCTAGAAAAGATGGTGATGTAGACTCCTTAACATACGATGGTGGGAGAAATCTATTTGTCGGAGAAACGATGAGTCCTTTTCTTCTTGCAAATCACTACAACTTTATGGAACGTTGCAGATAACAACAGTTCCTCGAGCTCGAGATTGACATACAAAGATAACAACAACAACATGGTTAATGCTCTCTCCCCGCTGCGCAAGTTCTTTGGATCAACTTCCAAGAGAGAAAGAAGGCACTCTTCGAGCGAAAGCATTTGTGAGAAGGAATCACCTAGAGGAGTTCTGGAAGGGCCAGAGGCAGCGAGCACCCCCGCAGACGACTGCTCGAGTTCGTCAAGCAGTGTCGTCGGCCGACGTAGCCACACCAACAACTGGAGGCGGCTATCTGTGGCGAGGCTGTTCTTTCCTTTGCCTCCCTCGCCGGAGGACTCGATAAGCATGGAGGGTGATGCATGTTCATCCTACGCTGAGGAGGTGAAGCCTTCCTGGAGGTGCTTTTCCTACGAGGAGATCTCGCGCGCTACAAACAAGTTCCATCCGGGTAAAGAAGATGAATATGTTCTGGTTTTAGATGAACGCAGCATTTATCGACATTGTTGATGCATTCCATTATCTGTACTTCATCTTGGAGATCAGACAACTTGGTGGGGAGAGGTGGATTCGCGGAGGTGTTCAAGGGAAGCCTTCGCAGTGGCCAGAATGTAGCAGTAAAAAGGTTGGCCAAAGGCGAAGGGGACCAGCTGAAGGAGAAGGAGTTCCTGGTCGAGCTCGGCATTCTTGGGCATGTTCGGCATCCAAACACAGCCAACTTGATCGGGTGCTGCATCGAGAACGGGCTTCATCTGGTCTTCGATTTGTCTTGCAATGGAAGCTTGGCATCAGCTCTGCACAGTGAGGCTTTCCCCATTTCCTCGCTACCTTCTTCTTCTCCATCCTCACCATGCAGTTCTGGATATGACCTGGATGTGTCAGGTAAACATGGCAGGGTTTTGGAGTGGTCGGCGAGGTACAAGATCGCCATAGGTATAGCCCGAGGCTTGCATTACCTTCACAAATGCTGCAGGCACCGGATCATCCACCGCGATATCAAGGCTTCCAATGTTCTTCTTGGCGCAGACTTTGAACCCCAGGTGGGAGCTTAAGACGGTCTAATCATGGTTTTTAGCAGAATGCATCTCTGCTGAAACCTTCATTTGGTTCTTATCATTGCAGATTTCAGATTTTGGACTAGCAAAATGGCTTCCAAAACAATGGACTCATCACTCTGTCATCCCAATAGAGGGCACGTTTGGGTATAACCATAAACCCCTTCACATATATATAGGATACGAGAATTCATGCATGCATTCCTTATGCTGAGCAGGTATCTGGCACCGGAGTACTTCATGCATGGGATAGTCGATGAGAAGACCGATGTCTTTTCATTTGGTGTTCTACTGTTGGAGATTGTTACTGGCAGGAGGCCGGCGGACACCTCAAAGCAGAGCCTGCTTGTGTGGGTGAGTGACCTGACAACTTCTGCCAATCTGATCTTGAAGTACGAGGAAGTATTATTACTTACAGAGCAGAATGTTGATTAGGCCAAGCCACTGATGCAGTCTGGAAGAATAGCTGAGCTAGCTGATCCCAAGCTGGAAGGTAAGTACGACATGGATCAGATGCAAAGATTAGTGGTCACTGCCTCATACTGTGTGAGACAATCATCGATTTGGCGTCCACCCATGAGTAAGGTTTGTGATTCTGGGATAAAAGCTTCAGACTCAAAGTTTTATGATTCATTTGGACTTAAACTTGCTGCCAATTGAATGTTCAGGTGTTGGGTCTCCTAACTAATGACCGTGATTCAGTGGAAGCACAGATACGGAGTATTCCTGAATGCCAGGTTGATGAGATGGATGATTACAATTTGGCTACAGATTGTTCCCTCGACTACTAGCCATCTGTTTTGGACTATGATGGAATTTTGTGTGTTGTGTTTTCTTTTTCTTGGAGTTTCTTTCTTAGGTTTTAGAGATTGTCATGTAATTATTATTGAATCAATGTTGTACTGATCGTCTCTTTTATGATGAGCATAGTTTTGAGCTTTAGACTGATTCTCAAATGTTGTGATTTTGAAGATGAAATTATTTTTTTTTTCATAAACAATGGTATCTTTGGACATTAATTTTGAGACCTGTACAGTATGTTATGTTGCTTCCAAGAGCACCAAGAACAGTCGGAAGCTAAGCTGGTCCTCCAAACACCATTCCCCCAGTCCATGCAAAAATAATTATTGGTATATATTCTGTAGACTCTCATATTCTATTCCATGGCACCAATGGAGTCGAACGAATAGATCTCGATGACCAAAGGGAAGAGGAACCAGAATCTCATCTTCCCTCCAAAATTATGCTTCAATTTTCGCGCCCAGATAAGAGCGTCTATTTTACAGCTTATTTTTACCATATATATAAAATATCGAAGCTGGAAGGGAAGTGACTCAATCAGAAAGAGAGAGAGAGCATTAAGGATATCAGTACGTTACAGTTCAGAGGCAGAAGAAGAGGTTGCCCTCAAAAGGAGGGGACGACGCCGTAGCCGGTGTCCGCCATGAGAGCCGCAGCGGCTGCGGCGGCGGCGGAGTAGATGCGGTCGACCTCCGCCTCGATGTCCTTCCGCTTGGCGAAGCGGCCCTTGATCCGCGGCCGCGTCTCCGCGTACGCCTTCCGCGAGGCGTACCGGATCGTCTTCTCGAACCGCCGGCTCTTCCTCTTCTCCCGGTACCGCATCACCCTTGCCTCCCTGTCCATCTGGGCCGCCGCCTTCTCGGGGACGCCGCCGTGCGGATTCGTCACGTCCGTCGTCGCGCCGCTCCCGTCCGGCACCACTCCCGCCTCCGACGACGACGCCTGCTCCGATCCACCCCAGTCACGAAGAATCAGGCAAGACGTCATAAATTAGCAAGAAATCTTTTTCTAGATCAGAGGGTTCCATGAGGTGTTACGCTGTGGCTCATGGAGAAGGTGGTGTGGGTGCTGTACGAGGGCTCGGATGGAGAGAAATCGATCTCGACGCCAGCATCGGGAGGAAGAAACGAAGGGAGCGGCGGGGCTCCGCCGTTGACGCCAGCGGCCTTGCCGTTGACGGGTACGACACTATCCATCTGGTGGAATCGCGCGTCCATCGAAGTCGCGTACTCCAGATCGAGGTAAGGATCCACATCTGAAAAGAAGTAGTCCGCTGATTTAAGATCCGGCGCTCCCGTCAAGCCCTTGGAGTGAGCATGGCCAAGGTTCGGGAGAATCCATGAGGCATCGGCCCCCGCGTCGTTCTCGTCTTCCTCGTTGTTGCCGTCGCCGGCGCAAACTGCCGCGCCGAACGGGAACGCAGCGGCGGCCGAGGATGGCTTGACGTGAGCGGCGAGGGGCTCCAGGAAGGGGACGATGGGGACTCGCTCGTGGCGGCGGGCGAGGGGGTTGGCGGAATGGATGTCGGCGTCGCAGGACTCGCAAAGGGCAGCGGCGTCGGCCTTGCAGGTGACGACGGCAGGCGCCTGCTCACACACCGCACACAACCACACGCGCTCGTGGCCGGAAGGGAGTCGGTTCGCCTCGTGCACCCGCGCGTCGCACCCCCCGCACAGGTAGGCCGCGTCAGCCCGGCAGTACAGCAACGCCGCCGCTACCTTGCACGAGTCGCACCTCCGCGCCGCCAGGCCCGTCCAGTACCCTTCCTTTCCTCCAGCCTCGCGTGCCATCTTCTCTTTTTACTTTTTCTCGTTTCTCCTTTTGTTGGGCTCTTTTGCTCTGTGTACTTCCTATATTTCTTGCTTTAAGAGGCGACGACGAGGGGATCGAGCGTAGGCTCTATCTTCTTGGGTGTGAGAGCAGTCTGCCACCTAATTATCACGGTCTGTTGACGACTTGCCTCTGTGGAATACCTGCTTCTTCACGGCTTGGTTCCATGCGGGACCAAATTTTTGTCCATTCAGAAGGCAGGTAGTAGAAGGGGTAGCAATGGAATTTACGAACGATCGGCTCGAGATGGACTGGAGACACGTGGCATCTCACACACCACGTAAAATAACAGAGACCTTTCAAACGAGAACCCGAGCAATCGCGGGGCCCGCATGGAGCCCCTTGTCCGTTGGGTCGCTGTTAGATATTTTATAAAGCAGCTCCTCTCTCGGGCGTTAAGGTTGTTGTAACCGGGACTTGGAATAGGGTCGCAAGTGGAGGTTGGGCGTTAAGCAGCCCCTAGGCTATTGTTACTAGAGGAGACAATCTATTATACAGTAGATGTAGTATCATCAGGAAGCTGCACCTTTCCATCTCGGATTGACGAGCCAGATCATTTAATTCTGATCTGATTCGGGTTCAGAGACTCAAGTTTTATGATTTATTTTTATCACTAAAACATGAGTAGTGGTGCAGCTACGAAGCGTACCTAACTTACCATGTAGATTATAGCTTCGATTCAGTATGCTACATTTGCCTGGCATTTATTCTATCTTTTATGAATCATTTATTCGATAGTTGAACATTTATTATAGCTTCGATTCAGTATGCTATTTTTGACAAAGTTGAGTAATTGTAAAAGATCGTAAACACGCGTTATGCCTTTAATGTGAGCTTTTCTTCCTTCGCTGATCCGAAAGGGTAGAAACTGACCCATCGATGAGTTGGAATCTGTGCGGTGGCTCGTGAAGGGCGGAAAGGGTCGCCCGTGATGCGAGAAGTCGGTCGAGGGCAAAATTGGCAGCGTCTCTCCCTCTCTGACGACTGTGCTGCCGTCACCCTCGGCGCCACGGTGATCCACAACAACGTGGGAAACAGATTAGGGGTTCCCTCGTCGAACGAGGAGGGTAATCGACTCCCTGGTGTACACGTGGATGCACGAGACTGCGTGGGAGCTGAAACGTTGCAGCGGAGGTAGCAGTTGATGCGCTCGAGACGGAGCGGTGGGAAGGTTGTGGGCCCCGCGCTTTTATTGATCGAAGAGCGACAGCTAGGAGGGGGCCGCGAGGTGGTGGGGGCATTCGGGGACTCTTGTTTTCGTTTTCGCTCTTTGGACGTTACAAAGTAGTCTTTTTCATTTTCCTTTCCGTTGTCGTTGCTACCGGACGACACCACAAGACCGCTTTATCACCGTCTGATTAGCATCCAAGGGGCCGATATATCCTCGTGGGCCCGCGGTGGTCCTGCCGATCACACTGCCCAAGAGCCGGCGGCAGAAGTAACTCGTATTAACAGATCCTCGTAAACAATATTAAAAGAGGCCCAACCTGCCTCCCATCTCTGCATCATGCAACCTTACTAAAGGAGGCAAGCAGTCTATGTTCTAATCGACTGTTATTATTATTAAGTTTGGAACTAAAACTCTACTACCACCTGTTTACAAACGATTGGTCAGAAACAATTGTTTAATATAGACAAAGGAACTCGACTTTATAAAGCGGGGAGTATTAATAATGCAAGTGATAAAGATACGTTGGGAGGAAGCCGACAGGAGCAAGATGGAGGAGTAGGGATAGGGCTGAGGATAAGCTTTACGGAGTGGCTGAGGGAAGGAGGGGTATGGATAGGATGCTGGAAAGATTCCACGAAGAGGTTGAGCGTCAGAGTTGCGTTTGGACACTATCACATCGGATGCAGTAAACACCGAAACGGGACCAATTTGATCTGATGCTGCGTTGGGATGACTGTGATCTCATCTCCTCATCTTTATCTTCCGGCTTGAGACATTAGATGATTGTTGGTATGTGGTCTCATTCTCCATTTTTCGGCTCTTTGTGCTGGTCCTGATTTCTAAAAAGAAAGACTTTTATGTGGTCTCATTCTCCATTTTTCGGCTCTTGTGCTGGTCCTGATTTCTAAAAAGAAAGACGTTCACACTGATTAATATCATCAGTTATGTCTCCTAAAAGATTAAGTTATTAGGATAGGAACTAAAATATATTCAGCACTAACATACCCTCTCAAGTACAGCATGATTTAGGTTCGACACTTGAAATCGAACCCAAATATATTATTGTGTAAGCTAATTTGAGAGAAGCCATTATATAAGATTAATAAGTATTTTGAGGTGGGTTACTCTAAATCTTAATCTATCAAATTTTAAGAAAATAATGTATATCTTAAGATAATTATGAAAATTTTAAAATTACTAAAGTATAATATATATGAGTTTAATATGTATTATAATTTGTACTGAACTTTTAGTAAATTATGACTTATTAATTAGGTGGTTGAGGGAATAAGTGTACAAGAGATTTATAAAAGTGGAATGAAGGAAGATTGGTGGAACATTCTTGTTTTTAAGACCTTATCAATCTCTTACCTTATCAATCTTTTATATTTTAAGTAACTAGGTTTTAGTTATCTCTCTCTCTCTCGAAAAAAAAAAGATTCTTTTTTTTTTCTCCCATATCTTATATTTTTTTTCTTATCCTCTCTCTTAAAAAAGAAAAAATGATTATGCAAACGATGGATTTGAACACATGAATCCCTTAGTATCTAAAAAATTACAAGAGACTCATCCATGGAGAGGTTTTTTTTTTGTGCAAATGATTATATTAAAATTGACTTGTTGGAGTTCCATGGTCGACTTCAACTTGAAGAGTTCCTTATTTAGCTTAGTACTATTAAGAAATTTTTTGAGCATAAAGAGATACCCGAAGGTTTAAAAGTAAAATTAATTACTATATAACTTTGAGGTTATGGGACAAGGTGTAAGAGATGTGCTTTATTCTATTTGATTATGTTTAAACTCTTTTTTCATAATTCAATAATTTTAGATAGCAAAATTATCATTGACTAACTACACTGAAGAATTTTATAACTTAATAGTCTAAATAACTTTCAAAAGATAAAAGAATAACTTATTGCAAGATATATCGGTAACCTACGAATTATGATTTGAGATGAAGTGAGATGCAACTACCATGAGATGCAACTACCATGAAGGTTCTTATCAATTAGTGCTAATAGTTGAAGTAAAACATATTAAAAGTAGAGTAAAGAGGTATTCTAATATTTCCTTATATTTCTCTTTTAAAGCTGATTTTACTCGATATAATGCTAGTAGATAAAAACATAGCGAAATCATG